GTATACTTATTTATTTCTGAATCTCGTTAATAACACAGAGTTTCTGCTGCCGGAGCCTGAAGTGATGGCTCTGTCCCAATTATCGTAAGAACATCGATTCAGAAGTGTCCTGCGTCAACTAAAAACCAGGAAGTGCGCCACCAGAGGCCCGTGGGTGGCTGAGATGGATGCCACGCATGCAGGCTCCTGTTCTTACACCCAGCATGGCCCCGCGTGCGGCCGCTGCACGTCTTTGCTTTTACTCTAATGCGTAATCCTACCTCATTTGGTAGTCCGGTCCCTAAACCTGCAGCAGACTAATAACAGCAAATTAGAAGAGATAGAGAAGTGGCTACAGGAAACATGCTGATAGCCATGAGAAATGACAGCTGACAACTTGTCTACAGAGGAGAAAACAAAAAATCCATAAAATACACAGCCTTGAGAAGCTTCAGAGCCTGAGACCCGCAGTGAGCTCGGTAAATGACAAGGCGGCCAGACAGTCCATAGGGCTGTCTGTCACTGCATAATAGAGCAGGGTGCAACAATTGATGTGCAAAATGGTGTTCTTACACCACCATGAGAAAGAACCACGCAAAGTGCCTGGGGAAGCGGGGGCACACGTCAATAAGGGTACCTGCACAATGAATATTTGTATACCTAACCCTGAATTGTACCCCCAATTTGAAAATAAAAATTAAAAGAGAAAAAAAAAAAAGAGAAATCACTCCTGGAGTTACTCGTCTCCTAGGGTTCCTGGGAAACTGAGATCTCACTATATCTTTGTAAACCTTAAGAAGCAGAAAATGATGCAATAAGTGAACATTTTAAAGTGGGTAATTGACCAACTTGCCCTAAAATTTATATGTAAATATAAAGGGAATCAAATCACTGAATAAGTACTGGAAATAAAAACACATTGGATAAAAAAATAAAGTGGTTCATTTGTTGATAAAATATCCATAAGAGAGAGGTAACCAATAAAAGTCACCTGGACATAAATATTGATAATACTTTATGACTTCTCAAAGATTTCAGAAGAGACACCACTTCAAGATTTAAATCCAGCTGGAACTTGGAGAGTCCCACACTCAGTGGCTATTGTGTCTTTATAACCATGGACTTACTCTTAGCAACGCAGCAAAAGAGCCGGCCAGTGTTCTCTGGTTGCCTCTGTAGAGAGGAACCTGTGTGCATGCCTGCGCTCGTGCATGTGCCGTTGAGGATAATCACTGTGATCCTTGCAAAGTTACATGCCATTGATTCATTAATTAGCAACGTGCCCTTAGTACTTCAGAATGTAATGTTTACTAAATACATCAAACTTGCTTGTGTTTTTCGGGATTGTAAGCCAGCACACAAATGCACACCTTTATATTTTCATCATGAAGAAAGAAGATTTCCAACGGACTATTTGTAAAGGAAGACAGGACACTATTTAGTTAGCAGGAGGTCCCATTTTTTTTCTTTTTTTTTGCTACTGCTATCATGGTCTGTTATTTGAGTCTTGGCTCTGCCCAGTCACATAATATACAGTTATTGAAGTGGTATTTTCTATACCCTGTTACTAAAACAGGCAGAGAGCAGTTTTGTGAACAGGATTCTGGGAGCGTGGTGATGGGAGGCATTGGAGGGCGGGATGATGATCCTGGCTTGTCTTTCTCGTCCTCTGACTCTCTGATCAGATATGCTACTTTTCCTTTAAAAGTTCTATTGCTTGTAACTACCTGTTTTTGGAGGTTTTTAATCTTTGCATATCTAGCGATCCTTGCTGTTTAGAGATGGTGTTTCTGACTTTCTGCGAGCTGGACTTGCAGTTAATTGTTTGTCCCGTGAATGGTGATAGAATTGCAGGTCGTAGCCACGCACAGGTTTTCAGTTTCTCTTGTGTCCAGCAGCATGTGTGTGCAGAGGTGATGGATTTGCAACTGTAGACGACGGCAACGCCGTGTGGTATGCAAAGGGGCCAGACCCTGTAACCTGGGCTTGATTAGCATGGCCCTGTGCACATGTATGTTGAAGAGACTGTTAGAGTTCTGTGAATTCTTAGAGCGTTTAAATTTGGTTTTTGAGACTTGCTCATAAGGAAAGCAATATGTTTCAGGCTGGTGTTTGTGAGGGCTACCTGGGCATAGTGAGTTCCACATCGTTGCTTTTTGTGCCAGTCTCTGTGGTGGTGGTACAGACCTTATCGGCATTATTTTCAGTGCTCATGTTTAGAAGAAGAGCCCAGAGCTTTGAGTTCTCTGTGTCGTTTGTTGTTTTGGAAAGGAAGCACAGGGGTAAATACTGCCCGCAGAGACTGAGCTGAAGAGTGACTTGCTTCACAAGTCACAGGTAGGGAGGTACCGGGAGAGGGCGCTTCTAAAAGTTGTGTGGGTGCCCGTAATTTAAACTGATGCTACAGAAAGGAAGTATGATTTTTACAAACAAAACACCGGCTTAGTCATTTTCCATTTCTAGATGATGGATGTGTCATACATCGGTATCATGTTTTTCTCCAAGCGAGCGGCACACTCGACTTACAGTGAAGCAGGCTCGACTGTGGAGTTGCCAAGGTAACTGGCCAGCAAGGGTGCAGTTCAGCAGATTGCAGAAAGGCACTTGAGCACTCGTGAGTAAGGACATGTGGTCATAGTCCTGAAACCCAGGAGGGCTGCAGCCGCCTGTGGCTCGGCTCTGCAGGTCGCAGACGTGTTTCTCAAGAAAGCAGAAATTAGACCTTTCACAGTAGTTCTGGAGGCGAGGTGGTCCAAGAGGCAGGCGCTCTTTCTTTAATGCTAGCACTCCAGGCCCTGTGGAAGGGGATGTGGAAACAAAATCAATTCCATAATATTTAGTATGGAATAACCTTGCCTTTTGCTTTACAGGTTAGAGTTTGCTACCTTATAGCAGTACAAGTTAAGGGAGGAGGATGGTAATCTAGAAAGTGCTACACTTTAAGGATTATACTTGTTAGATCACTAATAGGAAATTTGTGTTTACCTCTACTGCGTTTTGTATTAGAATGTATTCATCCATTCCATGGGTGTTGATAAACTTATTCAAATATATCAGATGCTTCTCATAGGTGCTGAGAAAAATAAGGTAAATAAAACTCAGGGCTGAACCTCAAGGTGTTTTTAATCTTTGGAAATAATATATTAGATAAACTCTGAAGAGATTCCTTTAAATTATTTAAAATAGTCTTGTGCTTTGAATGTTGGGTTGTGTCCAGAATTTATACACTTTTACGTATAAAGTGAATAACTTCTTAGCAGTTCAAAGCTCTCCATAGTTTGACCCTTCTCTTTTCCTCTGTTTTGTCTTGCCTACCTTAAATTTGCCCCAGGATCTGGCATCACTGTCTTAATCCTCATCTCACTTTTGGGTCTTGAACACTATTCACTGCTGACATTCCTGGTTTTGGAATCTGACTACTTGTAGTACTTTAAGGCCCATGTAGAAGTCTGCTTCTTCCAGAAATCTTTTCCATAAACTTCCAGCTTGATTGCTCCTCCCGTATTTTCAGGTATTGCTGAAGCAGTTTATACTCTGGAATAGCACCTAGGAGAGTGAATGTTGGTCTCCCAAGTCAGAGGTTGAGCTTGGGAGAGAGGGCTGGGATCTCTGTCATCTTCACATTCCCTGTGGCACACAGCCTTTAGGCCACATTGTGATATCAAACTGGCAACAACAACAAAAAAAAATCTAATTGTCCTCATTCCTGTTCTTTTGATCCGTTGGTTCTTATCTTTGGAGTGAGGTCGTTCTTGCAGGTAGGTGAAGTGTTCCTGGGTGGTAGAGGGTGCTGCTGGTGCCGTGGAGATCACATATGACTGCTGGTGCAGAACAAGTCCACCTTGCCACCTCCTTCCCTGCTGCACAGCCTCCAAGTTGTGTTTTGAGTAGTGAGGCTGTGGATATGTGAAGCTATAAGCCAGATATTTTAGTTCTGTTCCCCTTTTTCTGGCAGCCATCCACAGAACTGCAGGTATAAGTTTTCACAGATGAAGCAACATTTTGTGAGAGTTCCTATTTTTATGCTGAAAAGTTTACTTGTCCGTGATCTTGCCATCCAGGGCTTTTAGTTAGTTGCAAGCTGAGAGTGAGCAGCCTTGGGGTTTGTAAGGTTAATCATCACATTCACAGATCCATCAGTGACTAAGAAAGAACAGGCCGGTAGCGTTTATTTGTCTCAAAATTGCAGCCGCTAGCCTGTCAGTAAGATAGAAACCCCAAAGAGGTTATAAAGGTGATATGGGTAATGGCGGTGACATCAGAGCGAAAACAATAGGTGAAACCAATCAGACCCATTTGGCCATTTTAATGCACTCACAGGCTGTGTCTTCAGTAACTCGTGAACCATGAAATCGGCCCATTTAATTTAAGGAAACTATTCACCCTGAATTTTATTACGCAACTGTTCTTTTTAAATTTAGGATATAGTGTAATAAAATAGATTATATTTGAACTATTAAACACCAAGATCAGGGACAATGAAATAAATCATTTCTAGGCAAGATAAGAGGAGTGAATACTCAGAAAAAATATCCAGGGCATCTTGATAAGTGCATGTGAAGGTCACGTTGCATATGTTGATGGTGTCATATAGTCTGGTGTGTTTGGTCTAGAAAACTTAAAAATTACTCTGTATAGTTTGTTTTTTTAAAAAAAGTAAAGAGCAAAAAACTGCAGCAATTATATAGCATGATACATTTTTTTGGTAATAATTTCAAGTAAAAAGAAATTATCAAAAAAATTATGAATGTCCTCATTATCTAATAACAACTACATGTGGCTAATTTTGCTTACCTAATGTTTGCAAAGGGTCTAAACAAAAGTCAAAAGAGCTTTCTCCCTGTGTTGTCCTGAAATCACGTCCCTTTAAAGTAAGGTGCTACTAACGCTGCTCTTGCATGCTGCTTTGGTTTCGCAGAAATATCCATGTGGGGAGAGCCTTCTTGACAGCGTGCGCTGGATTGTCAAGAGCGAATCTCATTGTTTTTCTTTCTGTCTGCCATCTCCCTTTCTGTTTCCAGTGTACACCATTTTCTCCAAGGTCCACTCTGATCGGAATGTATACCCATCTGCAGGGGTCCTCTTTGTTCACGTTTTGGAAAGAGAATATTTTAAGGGGGAATTTCCACCTTACCCCAAACCTGGTATGTTCTTTATGGGGGAAAAAATGGTTAATTCACTAACTTTTTCCTTCTCTGTAATTTGCATAAGCTAGATAGTATATGATCAAATATCATTAACAGTATTTGAAATGGTCTGTATGTGTGATAAATTGATTGCGGTAGGATATTTCTCATTTTCAGATTAAAAATTTAATTACAGAAGGAAATACTTTATTTTTTAATTCTAAGGAAAACATATTTCTGAATTCTCAGTCTTAAGTTTTATGCCTCTGACAAATGATAGACCTATATGCACACAGAAATAATTATAGCTGTAAAATTATTATTTTCCATTTTAAGTCTTAGATTCTTACATAGTACATGGATTTTTAGAAAACTGTACATATGCTGTAGAAGAGAATGAAATTATGGTATTAAAAAAGAGTTTTTAAACAGCTTTTACAGTAGGAGATAATTTTATATAACTTTATAATAATATAATGACTATTAATTTTTTCTTAAAAGTGATACCAATTATGAAGTGTTATTTTTTTTTTTTTTTAATAATTAATCAGTATTTTTATTATAGTTTTGTGGGGTACATGAAGTGTTATTTAATTCACTATTGTCTTAAGTATGTTTATTTGAATGATCACAAATTTCATCAAATTAATGAAAATATGCAAAGAAGTACAAGAGAAAACATTAAGTTCTAACCCTTAAGTAGCATGTAAATATAAACTTTCTAAAATTACATTTTATATGAACACATTCTTAGCATTAGAACCAATATGCCTAGTCTTTTGTAGATTATAGGAAGTACCTGAAGCTTTTCATAAATATAGCTAGCCATGTTCTTAATAGAGTTCAAGGAAAAAAGTGGACTTTTCCTCAGTTATTTAGGAAATGTTTCCTTAGGTGGCATCCCATTTGCAAAATTGGATAGCTCAAGCGTTGGAGCTGCAGCGCTGACACTAGAGAAGAACACATGGGTTGAGGAGCACAGTTTCTAGAGTACAGGATTAAATTCTGGCTTCACCCCTGAGCACAACTATGGAGAAGTGCTTAACATGGAAAAGTACACATTCCATCAGTGACATTATTTCTATTAATAGAAGTGCTTCCATAGGTATGTTTGCAAATAAATTGAACAGTGCTTGTGACGCATTTAACACAAGGCCAGGCACATGCTCATGAATTACACTGTTATTGTTGCTTCCTATTAATAAATGCATTCATTAGTACAGCTGTTTGGGATTTGCAGCATCTTTCTGTCATATCCTTAAAATTACATTATCTTTGTTTTAAAATTACATTATCTTTGTTGTGATGATACTTTTGTCAAATCAGACTATCCCTTAATATTAGTTTGGTAGTATCCAGAATTTCATGAAAGGAATGCTTCTTAAAAGAATGACTGTACCAGTATGATGAGAGGGTTTTTCTGAGTGATAGTTGTCTCACTGTCAAATGACTAAAAAAAAAAAAATCCAAGAAAATTGTATGAATCTGCTTTGTTTGTTGCAATAGATTTCTAGACATATGAACCAAAAGGGGAGTTTTTAAAAATGTGGGGCCCTACTCTAAATTCCCAGATGGATTATGTGTGTATGCGTGCGTGTGTGTGTGTGTGTGTGTGTGTGTGTGTGTGTGTGTGTGTGTGTGTTTGCTACAAATGTAGGAAAAAATTTTCAGACAGAATGTTTTGATTGAAACTACCAAAGCAACATGTGTGAAAATAACTGTCTCATGTCTTAATTCTGTGTTTCTTATCTAGGCGAGATTAGTAATGATCCCATAACATTTAACACAAATTTAATGGGTTACCCAGACCGACCTGGATGGCTTCGATATATCCAGAGGACACCATACAGTGACGGAGTCCTGTATGGGTCTCCAACAGCTGAAAATGTGGGGAAACCAACTATCATCGAGGTAATTTACTTAGAGAGAACAGTTGTGTGTGTGTATGTGTTTTATAATTTGAGTTTTAAGTGTTGAAATTAAAGTTACATGACAGTGGTTTTTAATGTTTTGTGCATTGAATTGGAACATACTAGATAACACTTGCAAATGTGCCATTCCTTTCTGTTCATCTGTAAAATTTTTTGCTTCAGCTTTTATTTTTTTTATTTTTTTGAGTTGGAGTCTCACTCTGTTGCCCAGGCTGGAGTACAGTGGCACATTCACGGCCACCCCAGCGTCGACCCGCTGGGCTCCAGCGATCCTTCCGCTTCAGCTTTCCAAGTAGCTGGAACTATGGGCACACATTACCATGCCTGGCTAATTTTTGATTTATTGTAGAGACGAGGTTTCACCAAGTTGCCAGGGCTGGTCTTGAACCTGCGGGCTCCGGCAATCTACTCACCCTGTCCTCCCAAAGTGCTTACAGACTGAGCCACTGAGCCCAGCCCAGCTTTTATTTTAAAAAATGACAGTCTAAATTGGTGAAAAAAATAAGAGACATTGAAAAGAAATAGATGATTATAATTTGAATTCTACTTAAGAACATAGAACTTGAGAAGTTCCCTTTAAATTCAAGAACAAAGTAAGAATGACCCTGCCTACCTCCTTTGTTCTTCACGACACTCATTTGCTCTGTCTTTTGAATTCATATTTCACGTTCACTGAAATCGTCACTCAGCAGACGTGGTCTTCACCCACTGTGTGCTGAGCATTGTGATAGGTGCATAGGGATAGGAAGATGAGTATCGGGTGCATCTTGCCATGTCTCAGTCCAGGGGTCAGGGACTGGGATGAAAGGAAGCACATTGTATGCCAGCACTCTAAGAACTACTGTAGTCAGAAGGTGCTGTGTGGTGCAGAGCTGTAAGACAGCCAAGCATTTACTTCACAAAGTAGAAGGAGGGCTGTCTTGGGCACAGGAAATGGCACATTAGAATCTCAGGGCATAACAGAAGTCACATGACCTCAGAGAGGTAGAAGTGTGGCTGGAGTGTAGGGTGCACCCCAGTGAACAGACGTTGAGAGTGGGAGGTGTTAACACTGGTAGGAGCAGACCTTTGAGGGCTCTGTAAGCCATGCTGATGTATTTGACTCCTTTATTCTAGAAGAGATGGTGGTGGCACAGTACATCACATCTTCACTAGTGCCTAACATTATGCCTAGAAGATACTAGAAATTAAAACGACAATAACAACCACATTGCCTTTGTTTTGATTGAACCTTTAATGGAAATTAATACAGTACTTTTAAATAGAAAAGCTAAAAATGTTTCAGTATTTAATATACCCAACAAAATCAAAATTATAATGGCCATTAAAGGCAGGAGAGGTCAGCCATAGTTTAGGCCTTGTTGCCCCCTGGGTCTTGCATTCTAATTTAACTATTCATTTCCATAAGGATTTATTGGTAGGGACTAAGAAACTGCCAGTAAGACTGGTACAGGTCCCAAGTACCCTGTTGTCCACCAGGTACAAACTTTCAGGGGTTATATGCTTTGAGTTTTTCTCCAGTGTTTTAATCAGCTGTGAACTGTAGGTATGAGCTTCCATGTTGGCCAAGGGAAGAGGGCTTTTCTTCATTTGGAATTGAAGTTTTGTATTAACTTGACTTTTCATTGATTTCTTCTGGCTGTAAATCTCCCTTAAGGTGGTATAGATATAAGATAAAAATAGATGTAGATATAAGAAAGATACCTTGAGTTATCATCAAATTAATTTTTTTAAATGTTCAGTAAAAGAAAAGAAATATGCAAATGTAATTCACCACGTTACTAGATTAAAGGAGAAAAACAGCGTAATTGTATCGATAGTTGCAGAGAAAATGTTTAATAAAATTTACTACCTATTCTTGGTCAGAAAAAATAACTCTTAGCAAACCAGGAATAGAAGTGAGCTTCCTTAACCTGATAGGTTTCACCCAAAATAATAGCAAACATCATTGTTAATAAATTTTTAAAAAATTAGAGAAATTCCATTTAAATTCAGGAATAGGTTGGGTGTGGTGGCTCAAGCCTAGGCAGGTCTCAAGCCTAGGTAGGTCAAGGAGTAGGTGTGTAAAGCACATTTTTGCACTATTCTGTTAAAATGCAAAAGACTCTTCTTCTGCTCTTGGGGTAGGAAGGATTTCTTAAATGAAACCTAAATATTTTTAGTTACAAGATCAACCATGAAATCTGAAGCCATTAAAAAAAAAAAGGACAAGTCACAAATGGGAAAAATATATTTTCAATACCTATAGCTGATTGAGTATCTGAAATATAAAAAAGCATCCTACAATTTAATTTTTAAAAAGGCATTTCACTAGAGAGGAAGCGCAAATGCAATCAGCTTAAGAAGCTTACTATCATCAGTGATGAGGACTATGCAAATTAGGACCCCGTGAAGAATTGACCATCAGTGGTTGGATGTGGCATGACCAAAGGAAAGCAGCCCTGAATGTCTCATGCAGTTACATGTCAGTGTCTTACGGTTCAGCAGTCCTGCTCTAGGTGTGCACCCAAAGAAACACCTGCACTTGCTTCCAGGAGACCCAGACAGTCAGGGTCATCAGGCAACATTTGCAGAGCAAAGCGTGGCAACCCACAAAACCACGGAGACCCAAAAGTCAGCCAATGAGCCAGCAGGTCCATGAGTCGTGGCTGTTCACACAGTTGATGCCCAGAGTAGCAGTGAGAAAGCCTGTGCAGGAACCTGCGTGCATGCCTTCAGCATAATGTGGAACATGAAGAAGGCACGTGCTGGACACTGCAGAGAGTCTGATGCTTTGGTAGAGCTCAGAAACATGCAAACTAGTGTATTTTAAGCACACGTGCATTTACAATAAAACTGTATCCAAAATGACTGCTTTTTTCTGAGGAAAGCGGGGGCCCAGGACAGGCCACATCATGGAGAGGCTTGCATAGGAGCTTGCTGTGTTCGCCTACTTTACTACTGACATACAATGAATGTGATGAACATGCAGCAACTCTATCACGACAACAAGGTGAAGGTCTAGCATAACTTTCATATAACATAGCTCATTTTCATATTCACACATATTAACAGGTATGATGTTTTGGAATATTCTATCAATGAATATGGTCCACAGTTTGCATATCCTAAACTAACATTTAATCCTGTCAATCTGCTGATTAATTCATTCTGTGGATATTTATCTGAAATGTTTAGATTTTAAACATCTGAAATAGATCAGGCACTGTTTTAGAAACTGTGGATCAGACTAAAAAGTATGCACCATAGACACACACACGCTCACTCTTCTGCCTTGAAGATCTTCACGTCATTAAACAAATACAATTTGAGGATATTAGTACTTAAATATCTCATTAGAAGTGATAGAAAGACTGCATTTTGTTACAACATTAAAATTAAACTTCAAATATAAAGTCAGATAATAAAATTCTTCCTCCTGATACTGACTCTTCTTCAGTAGCCTGTGATTTAAAAATAAAGGCATTTATTAGAATTTATGAAATTCATAATAATGAAACTTGTGAGGGGAAGGCTAGTCATAAAAATGTTACTATTAATTTGAAAATATCTAATTTTTTAGCTGAAGCTTCAAGATATTATAACAAATAGTACAGTAGGTTGATATTTTTTCCATTGAAAATATTAAATTTTTTACAGCATAAACTTTTAAAATTATGAAGTCTCCCTAATACAGTCTATTTTGCATATTTTATTTGCTTCATTTGAACAACAGTTCCTAGTTTATTTCAGTGGCTAATCTGAATTCTATTATTTGGTGTGACCTAACTGATCACAGGTCCCAACAGAGGAGCAGCAAGGAAGTGATGAAATCTAGTGAAAATTTCACAGATCATAGAGAAGTGTTTTCAACTTTGTGGAATAATATGCTTTTCAGAATATGTCTTTTAAATATTGTTGAATTTTTAGGCTTGTTTATTCCAAAATTCTGAATCTTATGGTTCTTTCAAATAATATTCTTGATGATGGCAATTTCTTTTGAAGCTCACATGCAATGTGTAAACGTCTTTGATATTTGTCTTACGTGCACAAGACATTCCCCTCTTGTTTGAGTCAGTTGTCTCCTACTCTTCATCTCAGTGTTAACCCCAACTGCAGTCACTGTCAGAAGGCTAGTGCTGGGATGCTAAGACTGACATGGTCACTTGGTGCTTGAGGTACTGCAGGTGTGTCTGAATGATTTCATATCTGTTCTAAAGTGAATTATTCCTGATATTTGAAGCCATTTCCTCTTGCTGGCCTTTGCTGTGTGCATTGTTTGGCTAGTTTTGAGTCAACTTTGACATTGGTGCTTTGGCTTTTCAAGTGTTTACTAATCCTTGACTCTGTGAGGAGGTTGGCTTGTGTTGTGCATGTGCTGTAAGCTTCAGAGTCCGGGCCTTGCTGCCTCGCTCCCATTGTTGGTGAGATTTGACTTCCAAAGAGTTTTGCCTTACTGGTGTGCAGTTTAGCACTGAGTGCAAACAACACAAAAATGTGCTTGTTTTAAACTATTCTTTCCATTATAGTACTTAAATGCCATTTAAAAGTACAAAAATGCATTGTTTTAGTTTTTTGAAATCTCAGAATGGCACTGGTAACTCATGAGAGTTAATCCATTTACTAATGATGCATTTGTGTTGCTGTGAAAGAGTCTTTTTCATTTCAACTTTTTGTTTCAGCACATTAAATACACCTGACTAATTATTTACTTTTACATAACATTGCTAAAAGCTCTAAATTCCTATTGCCCAAAGAAGGAATATTTTGTAAGTATATCAACAAATAATGAAAATGGAAAAAATGGCAGTTTGTTTTCATTTTTGTCTGTAATGAATTTCATTTTACAAATAACATTTCACTTCTTTAATATGATTTTTCTTTTGCAATAGATAACTGCCTACAATAGGCGCACCTTCGAGACTGCAAGGCATAATTTGATAATTAATATAATGTCAGCAGAAGGTAGGTATGACCAATATGCTGATGATTGCTTTCTTATTTACAAGAAGGATTTCGTTATGTTTTATAATGATATAAAACATAGTTAGGAATTTTAAAGCACCATAGACCTGATGTAACTGATGAAATAGTAACGTGTAGAAAAGAAAACTCAGTGCTATGTGATTTATTGTAAAATGACCTGGTGTGCTTGATGGTACAGAACTTGGGACTGAGAGCTGAGCAAATGGGCCTCCCACTGCTCCCAGCCTTGGTTTAGTATGGGATAAGGATTCTGTGAGTTAAGGCTTGAAACCCATTTAACTCAGCTGGTCACGGAGTACACTGTCAACAATAATGAACAATGATTGTGTCCTTTACACTCGAACCTGGGCAATATAGAGCCAGACCCTGTCTCAAAAACAAATGATCAGATAGTTTTCTATTTTACTTTAAAATTTACTGTAGGTATCCGGGCTCGGTGGCTCAGCCTGTAATCCCGCGCCTTTGGGAGGCTGAGGTGAGTGAATTGCCTGAGCCTGTGGGTTCAAGACCCACCTGGGCAGCGAGACCTCATCTCTACAATAAATCAAAAAATCAGCCAGGCGTGGTAGCACATGCCTATAATTCCAGCTACTTGGAAGGCTGAGGCGGAAGGATCACCGGAGCCCAGCAGGTTGAGGCTGCGGTGGCCGGGAGCGGCCACTACACTCCAGTCTGGGCGACAGAGTGAGACTCCAACTCAAAAAAAAAAAAAAAAAAATTTACTGTAGGTAATAGTTGTCTAATTGTATGTGATGGTATAAAGTTGTTGCAAGATGGAAATAAATTATAATTTGGGGCACAATTTCCTTCCTAAATGGCTAATCATATGTTGGTAACTATTGGAGTCCATCAGCAATTTAGAGTTACCTATGCTCAAATTGTGAATTTTGAAGGTTAGAGACTAAGAAAATATTCCAAGAATTATTACACTCACAAAGATTTTGACCCTATTTTGGAAGTTGTCTGGGAAAAGTACATATCAGAAACTTTACAGTTATAATATATAAATCATGGATAATTGTCTCTAATAGATATCACTTAGACGGTAGCAGGAGAGGAGCTGATACAGATTTCTTTCCCTCTGAAAACAGGAAATCAGTGTGTGTTCCTGAGAAGAGAATTCTTGCTTCTATTTACTAATACAATTAAAAACAAACTAGCAAACACAGAACATTTGAACTGAATCTACTCATTTGGAATTAGTGATAATTCAGTTCAAGCCTGCATTAAAAATTGTCTTTACACGATACGAAGGAAAGCAATTTCTGTAAAATTGAAAAGATGTATGGAGAGTGCTTGAAGACTTAAACCTCCTTAAGTGAATTTTCCCCCAGAAGTTCAGCAGTATTAATTCTAGACAACAAAGATACAATTTTAAAATTTAAAATGGCATTCATATGTGAGACGCAAGCTCAAGTGCCAGCTCTGTGGGCCTCCCTGTCCACCTTCTCACTCCTGAGGGCTTTTGGGTGATATCTGTGTTTGGATCAGGGAGACTTTTGTTGTGGACTACGCTTGCGACTGGACTCTTGCATGCAGTGTAAGCTGTCCCTGCAGATGTGGAATACCCAGAAATGGAATGAGCAGAATAATTGAAAAGTTTCCTTCCTTGGGAATTTGTCACTATAGTTATAGACAGCGGACTTGGGTCTTCTCAGCTCACCACTGTGCTTGTGGGGGGGACTGGAAAGTATTAGGTGTGGGGGTCCCTGCAGACTGAGAGACAGCCTGGTCTACAGCTTGGACTTCTTCCTCTCAAGCATGGCCTCGGTGCTGTAGACATAGTACTCAAGGCATCGAACAGGTGGTATTGTTGGCGTAGGGGATCAAGCAGATATGAATGGAAGACTGATAGACTACTGTAGATTTGAAAATTGGCGTTGGGGCTCTGTATGGAATCAGGGGCATTGAAGATATGCGGGTGAGGGGAGGAGCAAAGAGGGTGGGAGCCGCCACCTCAGCTCAGACAGACGTGCTCCGCACTCTTGATGTAGGCTTTAGTGGCCTGCAGTTACTTGAATACTGGACTCCAGGTCATGCATTTGGCTTCGCTGATCTAGACAGAGTGCATATGTGCACTAGGATGTATGTCTTTGAGAGTAGTGTACACTCACACTGTTTATCCCTGGTAAGATTTAGGAGAAGAAATGGCAAAAGTTGTCTCTCAGGGTCGTGATGCACTGTCCAACTCCCTGCCCAGCTGACATCTGTTCTGAGAGACCTCGTGGGAAATCAGTCATGTAGATGCACGCAGCGTTGTTCCAAGAGAGTACATCAAGTGATTCTCTGAATCGGGTTTAGCGCCGCAGAGGCCTGCCACCAATCTGTTGGCCTACTGTTCTCTTGGCCTCTGTGACTTCCAAATATAGTAGGCCCGGGATTTCCCCAGAGTTAGAAAGCTGCTGTGACTCATCTCTGGGAGGCCTGGTGGCAGCTCTTGGCCGAGTAGGCAGCAGGCAGCCACCCAGTTATGAGCCTCCGAGGGGCATGGTGGCAACAGTCAGCTTTGCAGTGGGTCTCAGGAGGGGAGCCATGAAGTGGGGCCACATGGACCAGGAAAAGTCACATAACAGTTCTCCAAGACGTGGCCCTATCATCAGAAAAGAGTTTTACGTGCTTTTTAAGAATACTGTTATAAAAACGTAGAGTGAAATGAGTAGATCACAGACTCCTGCATATTCGAAAGCTGTATTTGGTATTATCTATACATATTATATTATTTATTGCCAAGAAACTCTTCTTCATGACACATGTCTGCATGACTATCCCTAAATATGCAGATAAACTTAACATGATGAAGCTATTTGTCTATATATGACAGGAAATGTAGCTGTATAAAATAAGAAATTTATCTAATTAAGGAAAATAATTATATCATATTTTAGAAGACTGAGATGAGCTATACATTAAAAAAACGAAAAAATCAGAAGCAGAATAAGTGACAGCATAGGAGATAAGTAAAGAATGTTCTGTATTTGGGCCTTGAAGCACTGACTCCTTAGGAAGTGATGGCCACACTCTACAAAGCTGTTGAAAACTCTAATCTAAAGCCATCTAAAGCCAGAGTTTCTTCTCTGACTTTCTCTCTGGCATCAAAAACCCTTGACTATCCAAAGGTATCATGAGGAATGACTTCAGCACGATTTCAGGTACTTAATATGTGACTTTTATTTCATGTATATTAAATAAATGTGGAATACTTTGCAGATACATCAATTTTATTGACATAAATCAGAGGGTATAGATAGTATAATTATGACTTTAAATCTCTGTGGGGTCCAGAAACATTTTCTTGTCCTTTGAAAGTATGAATTCAGGTAGTCCACCTTTTCATATTCCTATAATAAGAGCCAACATGTAATGTTTTATAAGCCCTTGTGATGTGTTGAGGACTTTGCAGAGTGCTTGGCCAAGAAACTCTTTAGATTAGATGGAAATCATACAAGGTAAGTTCAGATGAGCATAAGTCCCTGGACCTCTCAAAAGGTGTGCTCTACATCTGAGAGTACAGAGAAATATACATGGGCCTACTTACCCTCTTATGGGAACTTAATGGTATCATTCACCTGAATCTTTTAGTTTGGCCTGCCACATACTAAGTCTTTTTTTTAAATTAAACCTTTATTGTTATAGAAATATTAAATAAGAAGAAAGCTATTCTTTATCCTGATAGTACTCTCAGAACATAAAAAATTAAGATTCATAACTCCAGAATAACATTTGAGTAACAATATTGTTATATTTAAGGTGTCTAATACTGAGAATCTGAATTTGATACTGGGTTGGTTTAAAATACTAATTATGGAATGTTAGAGGGAATTTTGATGAACCATGGGAAAGGGAAAAAAACAAATAATCTTTAAAATGTGAGATTTGGAATTGCATGACAACTTGATAATTTTTCTAGAATATTTAATTATAGAATGATGAAGCAGTGGAATTGCTCTGGCTTTTAGAAGTCTTTCTTTTATTATTCTCTTAAAATATTTTTGTAGACATGAGGTCTCACTACGTTGGTCAGGCTGGTCTCAAATTCTTGACCTCAAGGGAATCTCTCAACTCAGCCTCCCAAAGTACTGGGAATATAGGTATGAGCCATTGCCTGATCATTTTTAGAATTCTTATTGGACATGTCATCAATATTTATTTTAAGAAAAAGTTAAATTTGAGTATGATCCTCCAAAATTCAGTAATATTATAAATTTAAAATGCAGATTTAGGTTGGGTACGATGAGTCACACCTATAATCCCAGCACTTTGGGTGACTGAGGCAGATCGCTTGAGGCCAGGAGTTTGAGACCAGCCTGGGGCAACAAACTGAGACCTCATCTCTACAAAAAATAAAAAAATTAGCTGGGTGTGATGGTGGTGTGTCTGTAGTCCCAGCTACTTGGGGGATTAAGGTGGAGGGATCCCCTGAGCCCAGGAGGTCTAGGCTGCGGTGAGCCATGATCACACCATCGCACCAGCCTGGGTGATAGGAGACCTTGACTCAAAAAAAAAATTTTATTTTTGCATATTTAGCTTTTCTTCTTTTTTGGCCATACGCCTTAGTAACCTTGGATTTTTGTTATAGTGTTAATAAAGTTCTGTGTCTCATGTCTGTTGTGTTCTTTGATTTGTTCTCTGGACTACAGAAAGCCTTTAAAGTCAATGCCAGTATTGTTCCTGTTCCCAGGATTATGACAGTACTCAACACAGTTCAAACTCTTCTTCTTCTGTTTTAAAAGGTGATTCCACTAAAGATATGTGTACCCTTTGTTCATCCAAATTAGACTTCCCGTTGCCATATCAAGCAGAGTTCTTCATTAGAAACATGAATGTGGAGGAGATGCTGGCCAGCGAGGTTCTGGGAGATTTCCTGGGTGCCGTGAAGAACGTGTGGCAGCCAGAGCGCCTGAACGCCATCAACATCACATCGGCCCTGGACCGGGGTGGCAGGGTGCCCCTGCCCATCAACGACCTGAAGGAGGGGTGAGCAGACCTGTCTCGTGGCCTCCCATGGAAATTTTTAAACATGGAAAGTTATCCAACTTGTTATAGATGGAAGATGGCCTATCGCATTTGTCTTTTTAGTGAGAAATAGATATGGTGACAATAGGAACATACTAGCCATTTTCTAAATTGACAGAGAGGTTGTGTTCATGGTTCTTTATGTCTTAAGCTCCCGGTCTATGGAATCTAATTGTAGATCAGGCTCAACATCATAAATTACAGCACTAAGTCTTTTGTACCTTCCAGGGAGAAGCTGATTATTTAGGGCCATGAATTTCAAAGGAAATTGATGTCCCAGTTATCAGCTGCAGAAGGGCATGAACTGCTGCCACTTTATTATAGGAAACTGTGTCTTCCCTTGTCACATTCTTTCCACCATGTGTCAGTGCCTGATGGCTGGGGTGGATTTGAAACCCATTCTGGTACACGGGTGTCCAAAGCCTGGCCTTGTCACTCACAGGCTGGTGACATTGGGCACACACTGAACTCCTCTGTGCCTCAACTTCCTTATCTATTCAGGTGATGAGTATACTCTCTCCCAGGATGGCTGTTGTGATTAAATGAGACAACACATTTGGAAGGGACTCATCACTTCACTCCTTGTGGAGGTCAGAAAACACTCCCGCCTCTCCTGGTCTGCCTGAATCGAAAGTGTCAGAGTAAAGACAGAATTTGGTCTTTAACGTCTAACCTGTAGGTTGAGGCAAATTAACTTCCCCCATCCTATGATAGTACAGTATGTAGAATAAACCACATTTTATATTCCTTTTCAACGCCACCTTCATCTAGAGTCCTGGAAACACATGTTTACAGGTGACATCTGGGATGAGCTGGAATACCTGGGTTAGCTAAGATTGAATGTGAGGCCAGCTTTAAAGGGGAACTGCCATGGGAACGAGGGAAGAGATCATGGAGGCACACAAATGATGTCTGAGGCAGTAAGCAGAAGGAGGGTGGGGGTTTGGCTGTGAAGTCCAGCTTCAGCATTGCGGAATTAAAGTCTAGGCTGCCACGTTATAGTAGCGGATTTTGAAGTCAGTCTGGCTCACATTGAAGTGCTTTGAGGAAAGTAGTTGCCTGATCTCTTGTCTGTGTGCTGGTTGGCTTTCCACAGGAAAACATAGTTGCAGGGCTGACATTTCCGCCTCCGGATTGTGCTGTGGGTCTTGTTCCCACCCAGAGGCTGAGACAGACGCATGGGGAGGACAGGGACAACTCTAAACGTGGAGCTGATCCAGTGGCATTCTGGAAGCCATGTGCTCTCCAGTGATGGTGGAAACAGCAACCAGAACATGTTAGCAAAGGCAGTACAAAGCCCTGGTGGGTCGAGTTTTCCGCAGTTGTGCTTTTCTGGGCTCTTCTTTCTCTAGTCAGTCGTGCAGGTCACACCCTAGAGGCACTTTTAGAGTCTGAACTAAACCAAGTTGTACTAAGCACCTCCCTCAGCCAAACTCTGACCACCAGCAGGGCTTTCCAGCTCTGTCTAGGCTGAAAATTGCCAGTAGGACATTACTAAAAATACAGGTTCCTGGCTCTGACTGCCCCTGGAGACTGATTCTTTGAGCCCAGGCCTGGACTGATCATGTGACTCTAAATTAAGCATGGAATTTTGTCCTACAAGTGCTTGTTAGAGAATCCAGCCATTAGCTCACTGACCCCCAACACCTGCTAGAGGGCGGCGTGTGCCATCAGATATTTGAGAGAGCCAGACCGCGGCATTTATCTGGACTCTTGTCTCAGATCTCTTCCCAACTTGAAATGCTTTCCGTGAGTTTAATTTAATGTTAAGTCTTAATCTTTACTCAAATATTCAGTTGAGGAGTCTTTTACAACAGCTTTCCTAAAAACTGTACACGATGCCAAGTCTGACTCCAGTGCCCCTATATAAACACTAATCATATAAAATCACGCTTGACTTCAAGTCCGAAAGAAAAGTTTATTCCTGGAAATGATATTGCAAGTATTCTTTAGCTGTTGTATAGTGTCGCAGTAACAGAACCCATTTTTAGCCCTATTGCCTTAAATTTAGAAATAAATCCAGTGCTGAACTCATTTCTAGTGCTTTCTTTTTAATGGCACGTAGTGTGATTTTTAAAATTCACTCGGTGCACCTTTTGCCTCTGTATTTTCTTTTGAAAATATCATGGGCTATAAATCCTGATGAAATGTTGGAAAGCTCAAGAGGTAGGTCAGAAATAGCAAAGGAATTGCATCTCTTGCTTTTTAAAAAGTTTACTTAAAATATATTTCATACACTTCAGAAGTATTAATTGAGTACCTAATAAATGTGTTCTGCTTAATACTTAAATCTTGGTCCCGGATTTTAAAAAACATCCCCATGAAGTATTCCCTGTTCCTCATGGCAGCCTCAGGCTCACTGAAGATATTCTCGGATTTGATGTGTGTGGCCCTGTAAACAGCAGGTGACCAGGAGTAGTACCTGGTAGTAGACCCTGTGAGGAACCTCCTGCCCACCCAAAGTGCCCTTAAATGCCAATCAACAAAGACCACCCTACAGCATCCCAGCCACACCCCCACTTCTGTCTTGTTTTGCATGTGTTCATTCCTGCAGGGCCCTCTGGCAGCTTCCAGACTTCTCCTAAATCAAACAGAAAACAATGACAGAGATTGACTTCAAAGCCAGCGAGCTCCTGCAGAGGATGGCTGAGCCCTTCCCAGGACTCAGGCTCACTGGCCGGACTGGGACACATGGCAGCTGTGCCATATTCGAGCAGGCCTTGCTGCTGCATTTGCTCCTGACCCTGAGCCAGGGCCTGGGGATGGGTGGCATTTGTAGTCTAGATAAAGCTGGTGGACAGAGGAGTAGTGCATGTTTTATTCTAGGTGTGTCATGGCTGCCAGTTGTGGGTAAGCAATTCAATGAGAACAGAGGCTGGGACAGGAGGGACAGGGTGTGAGGATTGAAGAATATATTGCTAGCCGGGCTCGGTGGCTCAGCCTGTAATCCCGCGCCTTTGGGAGGCCGAGGTGAGTGGATTGCCTGAGCCCGTGCGTTCGAGACCCGCTTGGCAACTTGGCGAGACCTCATCTCTACAATAAATCCAAAATTAGCCGGGCGTGGTTGTGCGTGCCTGTAGTTCCAGCTACTTGGAAGGCTGAGGCGGAAGGATCGCCGGAGTCCAGCAGGTCAAGGCTGCGGTGGCTGGGAGTGGCCGCTGCACTCCAGCTTGGGCAACAGAGTGAGACTCCAATTCAAAAACAAAAAAAAAGAATACATTGCTCCCTTCCTAAGAGGTCATCAGACCACCCCTGTTTCTTCTTTCCCAGTATGTGGCCACAGTCAGCAACAGGACCCTCATTCATCTTCCAGACTATCTCCAAGGACTACACTCCAAGGCATTCATTAGAAGTCATCCTTGAGAGGGCGAGTGCAAGTCCATGGCTGCCAGATGCTGGTCTGATGGAAAGCCATGGTCCTGGGCAAGGCCAGGAGGCTCCTGGAATTGTCTCTGTCTTTGGTGACTCACAAGATAGCTCTTTATTCTTATAATAGTGTCTGCCTATAATCTTGGCACATATACTCTTCTTTTATGGAATAGTGATGATGTGAGATAGGAATATTTTAAAAACCTTTAATAAAATAAAGATTGGAAAGCCCTATCAGTTTATTTTAACAAGTATAACAAAAATAGATCAGTGAAATTAATGCAGCTATATGTTTCACGTCTATTCTGTTATTTTTTAATTTCATAGTTTAACATTTATTAAGTAGTTTTAATTGGGAGAATATGGCATTAGTCTCTGGGACACAGTGATTTAAAAAATTCAAACTGTGTTTGCAATCAACTAGGGACTAAGCACATCATCAGACAGTTGAAATCTGTGTTCATTAGGGACATGGTTGTATCAGAGAGTGTTCCCTCCCCTCAGGTATGTGCCTGGAAAGTATTCAGAGGGGAGGTGACACCTGATCTGAGCTGAAAATGTGAGTGAGAATGAACCTGCTGAGGAAATGAGGAAGGGAACTCAAGGCAGAGAAGAGGACTTGGCAGCTTACCTAGGTGGGAGAGAGCATGGGGGATTGGAAGCCTGCTCCATGTGGACATGGCAACACGGGTGATAACAAGTGGGCAGAGACCAGCTGGGGGAAACCCTGTGTTCCCGGAAAGGTTGTTCAGTTATGGACCTTTGCAGAAAGTGGTGGACACAGGAGTTTTCACTTTAGAGAGATCCCACCAGGGGAATATGAGGAAGACTGAGGAGTCAGCGCCGTGTGGGGACAGGTCTTGGGACTTCAGGGGTCCGGAGATCCTGTATTCTAGTGGAAGAGTATGGAGATGGGAGAAAATTGTTTTAAAATTTAGCGTAACTAAAACATTTAGGTCTCTGAGAATCGTCACGATTCCTCCTCTTGTAATGAGAACTGTGACATTTACTGTGTTTTCTATTTTGATTTGGGTACAAGGAAGTTCCATACCAGTCACCATGCTATGGATTGCAGTAGAATCACTAAGCCTGTTGAGTTTTCAGTTTTTTCCTCATTTTGGCTCTTTTTCCATTTGTTTATATTAGTATACGTGTTTTGTTATAATCCCTTGAATCTAATATTCTTTACTTTTTAATCTTATTTTTTTGGTTGACTATTGGAGATATGTACAGAAAAAATATGGAATGGGGCAGAGGCAGAAAGTGGGGTGCAGCCTCTTTGGGGCATTCAGCACCCCCAGGCAACATGTGACACACACACAGACACATTTTTCCCCATGCTGTCTTTCCTCTCTTGTATACACAAAATAAAGAACAAAGTGCATTCAGTAATTGGGCAGCTAGGAAAAAATATCTGGAAAAAATAGAACATTTATCTGGCTATTGCTGAAAAAGGCAGAGTTTTGACTTAAATTATTTACCTGTTACTTGTCTTTCCACATCATATGTTTAAAGCCTTCAAAAAATGCATTTTACCTCAATGAAGGGAAACCGAATTGTTCAGATTGGAAAAAAAAAATTCTTCACAAGGA